ATATGCCAAACACAGTAACAAGTCCCACATTGGAGATGTTACTGGTGCCGGCTTGAGCAAATCTAAGAACAACGGGAGGACAGTGACAAATCCCTTATGGTTCTGTAAATCAATGTTAGTTACTGCCACACAACAACAACGACAACTACAGCAACAGAAGGAGCCCATGTAATTCTCTCCTGCTCCTATCTTAAGGAGTTGCACTGCCATCCATTGGTTTGCAAGCCGGAAATCCCAGACTTCTCCTTGATAGCAGCCACTCCCACTCTTTTCACACACAAGTCATCCTCCAAGTCTCTTGCTTTTATCTTCAAACTAATCTCAAATCCGTCCACTTATTTTGTCCCTTACACCACAACCCTAACCAAGTGACCATTTCTTGCTTTAGCTCCGTTGTAGTGTTCTTCCTGATCTGCAGATTCATTCCCCTTATCTTTTTAACGTACCCATCCTTTCTTTGCACTATGATGGCAGTACTATTTTGATGATTAAATTTCATCCTGATTTCTAGGGCTAGAGATGATAGTACAGAGATTAAGGTGCTTGTCTGGCTCATGATTGGCCCAGGTTTGATCCTGGGCACTGCAAATGGTCCCTTGAGCACCTCCAGGTATGACCCCCTCCATCAAAACTAGTGAAAATAAGATTCAGAATGATATTTATTGCTCATTGGATCAAGATTCATAAAGATACAAGTCTAAGGAACACGATCTAGATAAGGCTTTAGAGTCTATAAATTGAATGGTGACAGAATTTGTTATGCAGACCAAGATACTTGGGAGAGTAATCTAGTACTTTGAAGTACCCCAGAACATAAGCCTTACCCTGATCTCATTCATTAGGCAAACAGGGCAAATGGTTAAGAACCCTAGAGGTCTCCAAGGCCCTACCTTTTCTCCAGCCTTATCTTTGCACTGGGCTCCCTCGTTTTCCAGTTACATTGGTTCCATTTCAGTCTTTTGTCGCCATTTGCTTCCTACCACAATATATGGACATGTTTTTCTTTCTGCTAGGTCTGTCATACTTACTTCCCTTTACTCTAATTCAATGGTCTTCAACCATGAATTGATAGATAGGTGCTGGTCTGCAGGAGTGGGAAGGTTCAAAACCACTGTCTTGTGCTTTGAACATCACTGCTGGTCTGATCCACTGGTGTCAGATGGTTGAAGAGCGCAGCTCTTGTGAACTCATCAACACAGCAGATCAAGTGTTTCCTCAGAAAACTGCCTCTGACCACTGTGTCTAGAACAAATCCCCTTAAGGTTGAGGCACTACTGACATAAGTTATCTCCTCTTACTGACACTAGTCACACTTGTAATTTTTATTTTTTGGAGTATCTACTACATGTTGCTCAGTTAATAAATACTTGAATGTTTGAGTTACATTCCTTTCATTAAATAGTATCTGAAAATAATCACGTGGTGGTTAAGAATATGGACAATAGAGTCAGACAGTTGTTCACATTTGAATTTTAGCTCTACTACGATTCCTTTTCTGAAACTTGTAGGTTTAGTTATATTTTAAAAACAAAAATGTTTTAGATTATAGAAAGATAACATGACATAGTTACTAATTACTATGAAAGGGGTCTAGGGCAACCACCTTATCAGATACAATCATTTTTCTTTTTCTTTTTAATGAATCACCGTGAGATAGTTACAGACTTACAAACTTTCATGATTACGTTTCAGCCATACAATGATTGAATACCCATCCCTCCACCAGTGCCCTTTCTCCACCAGCAATGTTTCCAGTATCCCTCCTGCCACCCCCCCAGCCCCATACAGTCATTTTTCTGTAGCAGGATCATTTCATATCAATTCAGTTTTGTCATCAAATGGCTTGTTGCAAATTTATGGAACACTTGAATTTTAGAACTTCAGATAAATTCCTCTGTCCCAGTGTAAAGAAAATAGAAATAATAGTGGCACACAAGTTCCATTCCTTTTGTTGCAAATGAGTCAATGAATTAATACATGTTCTCTCCTTAGAACAGTGAATGTTCTTAGTCCTTGTTATGGGAGTCACCTCTTTTATCATTTTTATTAGATCCATAGTAATCCATTACTGTGGAGAAACTATAATGTATTTGCAATTTACTCATTATTGGGTATTTGTATTTCAGGTACAAAAACTATAGTGATGGTTGTCTAGATTTTTTTTATTACTAAAGATCATTTTCTAAAAATGAGATTATAGTCAAAAGGCAGGATCATTGTGAATGCTTTTGAAACGTATTGCAATTTTATAGCATATTGCCATCAGTTCTGAAAATTATGTCAGCATTATTATTTTAAACAAATCTGTGCTAACTCATAGAGAAAAACAAAACCTTCTTAATTTACTTTCATCTTTCATTAGTGTTTAAGGGTTAAAAAAAATCATATTGTTAGCCATTAGATATTCCTTTTTTCTGATTTGTACCCATAAACTTTGAGGGGCTTTATTTTGGATTCCTGTTTCTTTTTATTTTTTATTTTTTTTAATTTTATCAGTTGTTGACTTGTATTTCAGCCTTGCCCAGCTCTTGCAAGACCAGTATGCTGGGCTTTGGTAGGATTTAGTTGGATAAAGTAACATTAGAGGCTGAGGTGAGTTGTTACTTGCCTGTATGCAGTGGAGCAATGGGAGGACAGTTTTGAAGAAAATTGTATTTGGGTAAAATCTGAAATGAAAGTTGTATTTGGGGAGAAATCTGAAATGAAGACCAGGATGACTATTCAGCCTAACAGGGCTTGGAAGAAGAGGGCATTCAGGTAGGAAGCGAAGAACTAAGAGCTGCATGGTAGATTGGAAAGCTGGGAGATAAATTGCAACCTGTCTCTGTCTCTGTCTCTGTCTCTCTCTCTCAGGAAGTCTTGTGACTTCTCGAAAGACAGAAGTGCTCAGGGCACCCCGTCTAGGCCAGACACTGATTTGTGTGCAAATAGAGAAGAGGGATTAACCATTGCTTGGTGGGGTTTTCCCCACAGTTGCCTTTTCATTTAGTTTATGATAGATATTTCACTGTCACTGTCCTCCCGTTGTTCATCGATTTGCTGAGCAGGCCCAGTAACGTCTCCATTGGAGACTTTGTTGTTACTATGTTTGGCATATCGAATACATCACGGGGAGCTTGCCAGGCTTTGCCATGCGGGCGAGATACTCCCGGTAGCTTGCCGGGCTCTCCGAGAGGGGCGGAGGAATCGAACTCGGGTCGGCCATGTTGGCTGCGTGCAAGGCAAACGCCCTACCGCTGTGCTATTGCTCTAGCCCTGATAGATATTTACTTATAAAAATTAAAATAATTTTATGTTGTCTACATACGAGTTCTACCTCCTTTTTGAATCATTGTTTTTATGCGTAGAAAGTTCTTTCTGGGTAAAGACTTAATATATAACTGGGTTTTCTTTTTAAAAAACTGGTATTTTGAGATGTACAAGTCAAGAATTAATTAAACTAAGTAAAAGAGAGTTGAGTAGAATGAGTTCCATTAAAAAAAAAAACCCTAGGATATGATGCTGTAAAAGTGCTATTTGTGTCATCTTCATGTCTCCCTGCAGGTAGTGTAATAGTTTATGTCACCCGAAGGGTCTGCCACACACTGAGGATTTGTAGAGTCTTATCCTTAGAGACATTATCCGGAAGAATGAGAAGATACGATCTCTGAAGAGATTTTTCTACGTCTTTTATTTAACTGATGATCCTGTATAGTATTTGAAGCACCTATAGTTGCTGTATATGGAGAAAAAATTTCCTTGTTTTAAAAAGAGACTTAAAAAAAAGGAAAATAAGGGGCTAGAGAGATTGTACAGCAGGTGGGGCATTTGTCTTGCACAAGGCTGACCAGATTCTAGCCCCTGTGCCACATATGGTTCACTTGCCCCACGAGGAGTGTTGCCTGAGCTTACTTAGAGCCAGGAGTAAGCTCTAAGCCCCTCCAGGTGTGGCTCCAAATCAGAAACAAAAAACAAAACAAAAAAGAAAAAGGAAAATGTAAAGTTAATTGCTCACCTTTTTGGCATTGTTAAACTAGTTACTTTTAGATGTGCTTGCAAAAAGCATCTCCCTTTTAGTTAAACTCTAGTAAGGATCAGTAAGAAGAATTATTTTATTTAGGTCTGTCTCATGGTTCCAGAATGTGGAATGAACATTTATTTATTGTTAAGCTATATTAATATATCTTGTTTTGGTGTAGTAACTAAAATAAATCATAGGATGCTTTATTGTTTTATTTCAACAGGTTTGTAAGGTGATGGGTGGTAACTTTATAATTAATCAGAATATCCTTTCTACTTATAACAGTAATTACTTTTATTAATAACCATTGTCTGGTGAGTTTGAATATCATTGAGGATGTGGTATTAGGAATAAAATGAAGAAAAACACCTGTAATTATGAAGATAGTTGACTTAGAAATATTTTTATAATTTTTAATATTAATTGCTTAGTATAAATCAATTAATTTAATAAATATTTATTAACCTTACCAAGTTTCAGATATAGTTCTAGAATACTGTGTTGTAGCACAGCAGTAGGGCGTTTGCCTTGCACGCAGCCAACATGGCCGACCCGAGTTCGATTCCTCCGCCCCTCTCGGAGAGCCCGGCAAGCTCCCGAGAGTATTCGATATGCCAGACACAGTAACAACAAAGTCTCCAATGGAGACGTTACTGGGCCCGCTCGAGCAAATTGATGGACAACGGGAGGACAGTGACAGTGACTGTACTGCAGTGTCCTCCCGTTGTTCATCGAGTTGCTCGAGCAGGCCCAGTAACGTCTCCATTGTGAGACTTGTTTTACTTTTACATTGAGTAAAAGTATGTTTGCTTTTGATTCAGTATTCTTAGCATGAGCTGTATATTTTTGGAAAGCTGGTGATTTGGACTCACACATATTCATCAGGGAATAAGAGAAGCCTTACAGAAAATGTTCACTCAGTCTCTGAGGTTGAGATGCTGGTAATTGAAAGTTCTCTCTGTTATTTTGTAGTTATCAAGGTGGAATGATCATCTGCAGTGACAGAGCCGGCTGGGAGAGAATCCATTTACCATTTACCAAAGGCAGCGAGCACATCTAAGACTCAGGTTCTTATACTTAAATTCTTTCAAGGCTATTTGTTAGCAAATCTAGCAAAGGCTCCTGTGTCTGCTGTAGGAGCTCGGCTTCTAACTACATGAGATTCTGGGAAAAAAGCAAAAATTTATCCTTGGAAGTTTTTCATGGAAATCAAGTTATTTTTTCTTCTCACTTTATGACAATAAAATTCAGAACTTTTCATATTTGTTATCATGAAGGTAAACATCATGTCCAGCAGTGATTTTCTTCTATTTTTTTATTGAATCACTGTGAAATTGTTACAAAGCTTTCATGTTTGAGTTTCAGTCATACAATGATCGAACACCCATCCCTCCACCAGTGCACATTTTCCACCACCAGTGTCCCCAGTATACCCCCCACCCCCACCCTCAGCCCAACCCTCTCCCTGCCTCTATGGCAGACAGTTTTCTCCATAGTCTCTCTCTACTTTGGGGCCATTATGGTTTGCAATACAGATACCGAGAGGCTATCACGTTTGGTCCTTTATCTACTTTCAGCACACATCCCGTCCCGAACCATCCCTCCAACCATCATTGACTTAGTGGTCCCTTCTCTGTTCCAGCTGCCTTCTCCCCTAACTCATGAGGCAGGCTACCAACCATGGAGCAATATTCCTGTTCCTGTCTCTATTGTCTTTGGGAGTCAGTCTCATATTATGTTATTTTATATTCCACAAATGAGTGCAGTCCTTTTATATCTGCCCTTCTCCTTCTGACTCTTTTAACGTAGCATGATACTCCATGTCCTTCCACTTATAAGCAGTTCTCATGACTACATCTTTTATAACAGCTGCATAGTTTTCCATTGTGTAGATGTACCAAAGTTTCTTTAACCAGTCATCAGTTCTAGGGCACTTGGATTGTTTCCAGATTCTGGCTATTGTGAATAGTGCTGCAATGAACATATAGGTGCAGATGTCATTTCTCCTGTGCTTTTCTGCACCCTCAGGATATATTCCCAAAAGTGGTATTGCGGCATCATATGGAAGCTCAATTTCTATTTTTTAAGAAATGCCCATATTGTTTTCCAAAAAGGCTGGACCAGTCAGCATTCCCACCAACAATGAAAAAGAGTCCTTTTCTCCCCACAGTCGTGGCGCACTTGTCCAGCAGTGATTTTCATCTGAGTTTTATTGCTTCTTTCCCAGATCTCTCTGATTGTATGTACATATGTTATAATATAGGCACATGGCTCCTCTTTAAACTTGTACCTCACTTTTTAAATTGAGATATGATTAAATGTTTTAATGTCTGTAGATGTCATAAAATCACCTTTTATTTTTTAATTTTTAAATTTTTTTTCTATTTTCAGGCCTGTCTTTTTTCATTTCATTTCATTTTATTTTCATTACGTTGTTCACAATAATTTATTATATTTAATATTCAGACACCCATCCCACCACCACTGCATCTTCCCATCACCATATTTCAAATGTTTTCACCGCAACCTCCAAATCCTGGCCCCAAAGCAGGACCTAAATAATTTATTTTATATTGCTTGTTATGAATAATCCACTAAAAATGATCCAAAAAAGTTTCCGTAGAGGAAAGTGTGTGAAGATTGTTATATTACACCCTGGAGCCATTCAAGCCATTCTATAGGAGATTACTAACATGTTAAATGTTAAAAGTCGCCTTTCTAAAGTGTACAGTTTTTAATATATCAAAAGGTTTTGCAACCACTTCCATTAATTCCAGAATGCCTCATCTCTGTGCCACAGAAATCTTGTACCTATTAGCTGCCACTTTCAGTGTATCCCACCCCCTGGCAAACACTCTGTGAATTTGCCCATTTTGTGCATTTCATCCTTTTGCATTTTTATTTCTTAATTTGGCATGATGTTCTCAAATATCATTTCTGTTGTAGTTTGTATCAGTATTTCTTTTATTTTTTTGACCAAATAAGATTCCATTTTATGGATTTACCACATTTTGCTTATCTGGTCATCAGTAGATAGCTATTTGAGTTGTTTTATTTATTTTTTAGGAATAATATTATTAGGAATATTTTATACAAGTTTTTATGTGAATATAGGTTTTCATTTTTCTTGAGTTTATACCTAGGAGTGGAGTTGCTGCTCAGATAGTAACTCAGTGTTGAAATTTTGAACAGTTGTCCAACTGTTTTCCAAAGCCATTGCACTTTTATATAGTTCCACAAGAAATGTTAATGGATTCCTATTTCTCCACATTCTCATCTATCTTTATTATTGTTAGTGATTTTAATTATATGCATCCAAGTTATGTGTGAAGTTATAATTCATTAAAGTTTTGATTTGCGTTTCTCTAATGACTGACAATGTTGTAGATCTTTTCATGTATTTGTTGCATGTTTGTGTATCTTTCTCGAGACATGTCCATTTAAATTCTTTTTAAAAATGGATATGTCTCGAAAGAAAGTTCTTTTTATTAGGACTTTTTTAAATTGTTTAATTGTGAGAGTTATTTTTATTTATTCTGGATACTATGCCCTTATCTGACCTATTATTTGTAATTAATTTCTCCCATTTCCTAGGCTGTCTTTTCCCTTTCTTCATAATGCCCCCTGGGAAACAAAAGCTTTTGATTTAATGAAGTACAGAGTATCTAATTTTTCACTGATTGACTTTAAGTGTCATATCTAAAAGATGTCTTGTGGCCTAGTAAAGGTAACAGGATTTACCTAGATCTCTTCTCATAAGAGTTTTGTAGTTCTCCTTTTCATATTTTTTTAAATCTAGCTTGAGTTAATTTTTGTATATAGTGTGAGGGAGATGTCCAAATTTTTCTTTTGCATATGAATATCACTGTCCAGCACCCTTTGTTGTATACCTTACTCTGAATCAACCTGTAAATCATGTCTTGGGAAAGAAAAATTTGTCTAACTCCTTCTCACCTCTGTTAGCTGCCAGCAAGGAAACATCTGTATCACCAGCAATGACTTTGGTTCCAAATATCTGTTGGCTTATAATTTATAAATGGCTTGTAGGGGCTGTACAGTTCAGATCTGCTTCCTTCTCTTAAATCATAGCCTCTAAGTGGACTCTTTTGGTTTCTTGGGGAGGTAAGGAAATGCCATATAAAGGGGAAAAGGAATTTGGGGCTGGCCCAAAGGGCGAGAGGTGGGAAAGAGTGGAAGTCTTTAAGGAAGTTATTATGGGAGAGTGCATGGAATAATCTGGACAGTGACTAGAAGACTAGCAATGTCTAGCTTACAAAGTGCCTGTTTTGCTGGACTGAGATTTGATATCAATTTTGATGGAGAAGACAGAAGCATAAATTTGTAGTTAAGAAATAACATCTGTGTGCTAAAAGTGGATAAAGGACCAATAGTGATAGCCTCTCAGTATCTATTTTGCAAACCATATGCCCCAAAGTAGAGAGAGAGTATGGGGGAAATTGTCTACCATAAAGGCAGGGGGAGAGGGTTGTGATGAGGAGTGATACTGGAGACATTGGTGGTGGAAAATATGCACTGGTGGAGGGATGGGTGTTCAATCATTGTATGACTGAAACTCAAACATGGAAGCTTTATAACTGTATCTCACAGTGATTCAGTTTAAAAAAAATAAAGAAATAACATCGGGAGACTGGATTGATAGTACAGCAGGTAAGGCACTTACCTTGCATGTGACTGATCTGGTTCAATCTCTGGCACCTTGAAAACAACCAAGAGTGGCTCTTAGCACAGAACCGGGTGTGGACCCTACTTCCCCCAACCCCACCCACACCCTTCCACCCTCCCCAAAGAATTAATGTTAATGTCTGTTTGGGATTTATCTTATTTTAAACCTAGCTTTATAAAACCCATTTCTTTGTTTACAGCATTTTCTCCAAGCATCTGCTACTTTTGGGTTTTCGCTTCCCCAATTTTCTTCATTAGGATCTTGATACTTTAGTATTTTCTGGGATACTTGCCTCTCTAGGAATTTGGAGGGGCAGGAATGATATAGTACAGAGAGTAAGGTGCTTGCTTTGCATGCAGCCAACCTTGTTCGATCCCAGTACCACATATGACCTGCAGGCCACCAGAAATGATTCCTGGTAAGCCTTGAGCTGCGCAGGTTGTGGCCTCCCTCCAAAAAAGCCCCTAGTAGTTATGGAAAGCTTCCTCTGTCACTCTATACTTTTCCCCGGAAGGTAGGTTCTATATCTTTTCCCCAAAGTCTAGTTAGTAACAAAAAAGACCTGTAGTTTTGCTTGGTGTTTGGGGGCAGGCTGAGGAAGGGGGGTAGAAAGTGGGGAGAAAGATAGATACGGAGAGATACACAGGAACTAAGGTGACCATATATATATATATACATATATATATATATTTTTGCTTTTTGGGTCACACCTGGTGATGCACAGGGGTTGTTCCTGGCTCTGCACTCAGGAATTACTCCTGGTGATGCTCAAGGGGCCATAGGGATGCTGCGAATTGAACCTGGGTCGGCCACCTGCAAGGTAGACACCCTACTTGCTGTACTATCACGCCAGCCCCTATATATTTATATTTTATTTACTCATTGAGAGCCTGTAATTTACAATACTGTCAAATGATGGTTTCTCATGTACGTAGTTCCAGCACTACACCACCACCAGTGCATCCACATACCTCCCAGAAGAACCCCCACACTCATCTCTTTCAACACCAACCACCCCCTCCCCAACCCACATCAAATCAATTGCATGGATCAGTTCTCCCATTACATGTTGCAAGATGACACTTTAGACAAGAGAGAATATGAATTTCCAGACCTGTTATGTAGGGTTTTGTTCTGAGATCCTCTGTACACTGAAGGAACTGGCTTTGAAAAGATCTGTTAGGAGTAGGGATGGAGGGGAATCACAGCTGGTTTCAAATATTTGAAGGGTTGCCAAGTATAGCAGACAAAGTAATAGATTTTAGTTTTGAATTCTGGCCCTGCCTCTTACTAGCTTTTTTCTTCATCTATATTCTCTCTAACCTAAAAAATTCTATGGTTCAATAAATATAGCAGACAGTGACTACACCGATTAGATCTGGA